TTTTAGGTTGGCTCCGGTGAGGCTGTGGACATGTTATCTAGCGGGTGTTATCTTGCGTCTTGGTTGGGCTATGGACATGTAGGCGAAAAAATGTTCAGATGTTGAAAAAAGAGGTTCAGGAACGTTTTGCGGGCATTGGCTCCGCTTGCGTAGGCAAAAAAATGTTCAGAGGTTGAAAAAAGAGGTTGAGGGGTTGAATAAATAGGTTGAGGTGTTGAAAAAATAGGTTAGGGGGGTTGAAAAAGTAGGTTAGGGGGTTGAAATAATAGGTTAGGGGGTTGAAAAAAGAGGGTGGGGGGTTGAAAAAATAGGTGGAGGTTGGAAAAATAGGGTCGGGGGGTTGGAAAAATAGGTGACCCACAAAGAAAGCGTCTTCTTTTTGTTCAGTGTGTGTTTGTTCTGCAAGTCAAGGTCTAGCATCAGTAATGTAAAGTGCTAATCTCACTGGGAAGTCATAACTGATAGAGCTCTTGCGAGCATGGATCTAAGTTGTGTGTGTGTGTCAAGCAAAAGTACTTGGGACCAAACCGCCCCGCCCGGCTCGAGCACATTAGCTCCCCAAGTTCCGCCGACCGTTCGCGGAACACCCGCCGGGTGCCTGGTGCCACGTTCAGTGTGAGTCGGTCCAGGCTCCCGTAGATTGGGTGGAAAACAGACTCGTGTTTCGCTGAAGAAGGGAATGGATCCTAAGGCATCTCTTGTGGGGGTTCACTCCCTCATTCCCTACTGAGCACCAGTCAGAAAAGCGAAAGATGGAGGAGTGGATGGAGTCGATGGGGGGGGTGGATGGCTGACCTCCATGAAAGACACTGGTGGTGACCTCTTTGACACCTTTGGTCTATGAGATCGAGTGATGGAAGGTCTTCGACTTTCTTAGTCGTTTTCTTCATGTTGGATGAACATGCATGGAACTTGGAAGTGTTGGAAAATAAGACTGTCCCTGGACAGTCTTCCGTCTTGACATCATGTCCATTGGTCTCGTCCAAGAACGACGAACGATGTGGCTGTGGGTCATGGTACCTGACCATCCTGGTTGACCGAAAATGAACAGATTCCTCTATGTTCGGATGTCAACCGAAACCATGGTCTGGTGGAAGAGGTGTCATGACTCACAGCCACATAACAAATGTCCCCCAAAAACGGTGTCAACATCCCCTTCCCCCCTTACCGCCGGTGCCGCCCCGATTGGGTCGCTGAAATCGTACGCCACCTGCCCACGTGAGCCATGCGAGAGCGAAAGCGAAGCAAAGCAGCCGGCCGAGGTGATGTCGGATCTTCGAACCCAGCCGCGAGACCTAAGAGACTGACTGACAGACTGCCCGGCTGACTGACTGCCTGGCTGACTCATTGACTGACTGACTGACTGACTGACTGACTGGGAACGATGAAAGGGATTTTATTGACTTCAGGACATCGGGTGTGTCGGTTAATGCGGCAATGGGCTGCTGTAGGCTATTGAAGTGTTTAGACATTTTGGAGAGAGGTGTTAGGAAGTTGTTTGTTCTTGGGGCCAACGATTTCTGACACTCAAGCTTTGCTTCTGGTTCTTTTGAAGATGGAAAGCCGTGTCCCTGGAACTCACCCCATGGTCCAAAAAAGGAATTCTCCAGAGGGGGAGGTTTATCCTGAGTCATGAGATGGATCATGAGTGTCAACTACCCAAGGGATTAAGTGGTAGGTTTTCTCCCGTTCTTCGTTTCGGTGTGCAAACCCAGACAACACTGACAGACTGGGGGAAGATGACGACGACGACGAGCCAGAGTACTTGCAATTTAAGGCGGGGTCCGCTGAAACATGGATGCGTGACTTGCAAACGCACCGAGCAGTTCCAGAGATAGACAGGTGATTCCCCCAGTTCCCGATTCTGTCACTACTTTGGACTTTGGATGTTGTGTGGTCAATCAACAAGACATCGTATGCAAGTGAACGTTTTTTATAGATCCTACCACGCCAGGAGGCTCACAAAACCCTTGGTTGATATTTGGGGTATCACCGTATACAGAAATGATTCAACTATCGAATGCATTCATTCCCCCTCTGAAGATTTTCTCCTAGCAAGCCAAATTCTTGTCAGAGCATTCTGAACTCCTCCAAAAAGAGTGCTTGCCAGCAAGCAAGATTAAGATGGCCTCCACATTTGTCCACTCTATGTTAAATATATTAATATATAGAGAGAGAGAGACACTAGTCACAATCTGATAGCCACGACATGTGGCCCATGATGTGACTCAACAAAGATCCGACAAAAATAGAAACACGTTACAAACAAGATACTATCCATTACCACTCTACTTGTTTGCACTGGAGCCATTGGTGGCACCAGTAGCCTACATGCACCTATTCTCATCTATTCCCCCAAACAAATCTCCCCCAAAATCACTGGGTTTTGTTTTGCTCCTTCGCCTTCGCCTTTGTTTTGCTCCTTGTTTTGCCCTGTTGTTGTGCTCCTTCGCCTGTGGCAAGCAGGTCATTCTCCTGGGCGACGGCGCCGTCGGCAAGACCTCTCTGGCAACTAGGTTCTGCGAGGCCAAACGACCCGGTGGGAGGGCGGGAGGGGGTCAGATGGTTCGTGGCTTTCTCCGCAAAGAGGCTTCATCCACTGCACCCGAAAGGCTTCCGTTGGTTTCTCCGTTGGCCATTTTTGCGAACTTTTGTCTCAGTCCCGGATTGGAGTAGTTCGGGGCCAATGGCTGAGGATGCACAAGTTGAGGCTTGAGGCCTGTATACTGAATGGAGTTCTCCATGAGCGTTTGGGAGGTGTGAAAAAACCCTATGGATCCTCCCGGGGAATGGTTTTTATCCGGCTCGAACACCGGTTCGGACCCTCGGTTTGTCCGGCCCTCGGGGGGCCCGGACCTCAGGCTCCGTTTGTTCCGGAGTGCAGGTCTTTTCGGAAAGACCTGCGATGTTGGATGACATGGGTTTTGTGCATCCTATGATGTGGATTTATGCATCCTATGGCGCGTAGGCGGTGTTGAAACCTCGAGGTTTCTTTCAGGACACAGTCCTTCCTTTCGCTATCTTTCGATGCAGCTGGGTTGGGCTGCATGTTTTTCTCCATGGTCTTCCAGGTGTTAGACTTTTGGATCAATTCTGGGCCCCGAACCTCATTTACAGTTCGTAGAAAAACTGCGTGCATCTCCAACCGAACCAACCAGCCAAACTGATCCAGCCAAACCCATCCGGCCTTTTGGTTGAGCCCTATGAATTTCATTGCATTCCGGTACACAGCATGATATCTACATCAAATCTACACGAACGTGTCTACTGCACTTGACCAAAAGAAAGATACAACAAAGATAAACACAAAACGAATTCCACATAGAAAAGTGCTTCTCCAATATCAAGATGTAGAGAATGGTTCCATTAGGTTTCATCTTTGAGGTCGACCTCTGTTCGTGCCAGACTCGTCGCGACCCCCTCCACACCGCTGCGGACCGTGTGGCGCGACAGGATCACTTTGCAAAGCAATACAAGCAGACCATAGGCCTGGTCCGACCTCCGGATCCGACCACGAAAAAGAACGGGTCCGCCACTGATGCAACGGTGCACTTGATTCACATTCTGGCCCCCTACCAGAATGATTCAGCTTGCAGAACGAAGCTTGGTGGAGTTGCGCCTATGGAGAATTGACAGAATGATTCATTTACGTTTGACACCGTTGGAAGATCCACCGCAGCCGAGTGCGTGCGTGCACCCACGAACCCACTCGCCTCGGAGCTCGGGTCGTCGGGTGGAGTCGGTGGTCAACGGGGGGCGGTGTGCATCGGCGGCTTCGTTGGCTTCGTTGGGTGGATGTTCTGGTCTTGGAATGTCTTGGATATCATGACATATCATGGCCATAGGCCATAGTTGTCTCATGTGTTAGACGTCTAGGACCCTCCAGTCGGGGTGTCCAGACCGCCCCTTAGCTGTTAAGAGGTCAGGTGTAGACCCTCTAGGTTTTGAGGGATGTCTCGGGCTGTGAACGGAGCGTATGTTTTATATTAGCTTTAGAATGCTTTAGATTACTTTAGATTAGCTTTATATATCATAGTATAGGACATCATAGGACGATGTAGGTAACACAATGCAACATACCGCTAATATAAAACATATTGGGGTGTTATATTAATTAGGTTCTCTTTTTCGGACGATTTTATCCGACCTTATTGTTTAGTCTCTACCGACCGGTCGACCCGCCGGTCGACCGGTCGCGACGTCGATGACGCTCGATCCCCACCGAGGTTTTGCGTTTGTTTTCGGAGATGATCTTGAAAAACCATGAGAAACCTCTACTTGGGGATGATTGGCACCATATAAACAAACGTGTTCGATGGTGTTCGCATGTTTTTTGCGAGTTTTTTTGGTTCGCGAGTTGAAGGCACCAACCATGCAGCCAAATGATGCTGAAAGAAAGAGCGTCCTCTTTTGGGTGAACGATGTATCCAAGGTCGGCGGTGTGTTTCGGATTTATGTTCCATGATTTTTGTATATTTTTGTGAGGTGGGATTTCTAGGTTTTGTCATTTTCAGAGTCGGGAGCCTTTTTGAGGCCTGGACTTTTTTTGTGAAGCGGGTGGTTCTCCCGGGCGACATTCATGTGGCTCGGCGGCATTTCCTGCGACATTGTGCGAACAGTTCCCGCTGGAGGTTGACCTGTCCCGGGGTTCCTTCCTCTATGACTCTATGTGGTCTTATACCTGACCCCATTTCCTCTGGCCATGCTAGGAACAAGGACGCTACGAACGGATGCTACGGGTCAACCCCTGCCAAACGTCTTATGGGCCTCCTCACCGTGCACGGCGTGGTACTGTAATTGATCTATGAGGAGTGCGGTGAAAAAGTGCAAACGGCGTTGGTGGAAATGCTTGCTAAAACATGGGCTTTCCTTTCTTGGCTGAATGGGAGCGGCATAAACATGACTTCAAGAAGTTGAAGATGCTAAGGTTTGGAAGCATTTTCACGGAATGTACAATGATCATAAACCACATCAAAGCCAATCACTGTGGGTCAACGGGGTATATTTCTGCGAGGCTGTTGGACATGCACGTCAGTGGAAAAAGACGGAATTCAGACCAGATTTTGCTTGTGCGCATTGGAAAAAAATTGGTCAGTTCCAATCATTTTGTATAAATGTGATTTGGGACAGGTACTTCAATATATGGCTCTTGTGGTTGGGTCCGCAGTTTTATATCTATAAAATGGCCTGCATGTCCCCCCCCATGGTAATGGGGACAGGGATGTCTTCTCCTACCCCGCAAAGGCCTTTTTGGGCATGGAAACCCCCACGAAACTGCTCAACTAGACTTGTCAGCAGTGCCAACAGGATCTGGCATGGATGCATGCGAGATCGAGTCACCAGTGAACGGATCGGGAGGAGGTTCTCTCCGGTGTGTTGGTGGCCTGGCACCGTGAACCACAACGGTGGGTAGGTGGACGAGTTGGTGGTGGTCCGTAAGCTGTAAGACGGTGGACGTCGCTAGAGATCGGTCGGGGGGGGTGTCCCAGTCATTTACTGTGACTTGCCATCGGAATGTCCGAGGTCTGCTATGTATCACTTTTGGTTGTATCTCTGACGATGGATGTCGGGACTAGCATTCGGCCGAAGCATGATCCACTTAGGGCCCAGGGCACGGTGAAAGCATGACTCTTGGAGTCTTCCTGCAAATCTACCAGGAGTCATAGAGCTTGGGGCGGCTTTTGTTATCTTTTGTTCGTCCCATCCAGTGGATGTGACAGGGGCACCCCAAACCTCCATGGATAGCACCCCTTTGTGACTGGTGACGGAGTCTTCCTGCACTTGAAGGTGATCTCTTCTCCCAAAGTCAGATGGAATTTCCTGCACCCTTCTCTCACTCATTTTTCTATTCGAGCGGGGGCCGGGTGTTTTGGGGCGAACCAGAGGGTGAGTGAAGAACCACGGCCTAACTTGGGGCTTAAAGCAAGCATATACCTGGGAGTTTGGTGGCACAAGTAGATGGCACAAGCATGGTTCGAATGGTTAAGATATGGAGCCTGGCCGCATTTGCCATGAGACAAAACGATTCCAAAGTTGTGTATCCTCAGTTTGCGTCACTCTGAATTCATTCAGTGAAAGCTGTTCATACCCCAAGCAGCTACTAGGAACAAAGGGCATCGCTACTAGGAGCGATCGGACACTACGTTCGGGGCTCCTGGCCTTACTACTAGAAGCAAGAAGCTACTAGTAACAAAGAGCATTTCTACTAATTAGGATACCCCAAGGGTTCTTGTTGGCTCATTGAGGTTTGCTTGCAGATCTGGGACATCGGAGGGCAATCCATCGGCGGGAAGATGCTCAGCACCTTGGCGCCGATCCCGATGTTGGGAGGTTCTTCAACGTGGCAAGTCGCTGGCAAGTGACTCTACTTGGAATCCGAGGATATCCTGGGTTTGATGGGTGTCTTTTCACCTTTTCTACGATGGAGACCAAACCACTTCTGAATAATGTTTGGTCCACAAAAAGTTGTAGTGGTGGTCTAGACGGTCTAGCAGTTGTTTATTTAGACTTTTGGGGGAACCACCAACTCCCGAATGCCGGACTCACTTTCACGGGTGCTGGACATAGCAGGCGGTTGCTGACAAAACACGCCGATTCTGCAGCTCGCCGCTGCGCCGAAGGGGCCTTCCAGGCTTGGGGTTGATATCAAAACTGCCAGATTCCCTGCAGATGTGCTCCATTACAAAGGCTCTTTTTTGGTTGAAGGGCCGAAGGGGGTCCTCAAAGTGTTCGCCAAGTCTTTGCGAAAGCTCACTGCAAGGCAACTATATCTACGGTTCCGGTGCTGCCGCACGCTTAGTTCGCTGGACAGAAAGAACTGATGAGTGAATGATCTTGGACCCGATGGTCAAGGTGCTGTAAATCCGGTTAAATTAAACAATCAGTCTTAAAGGGATTCGATTTGTGCCATTGTTTCCCCAACTTCTCTAGCTTGTTGGCCTCTGATGGCCTCCTCATTCCTATACTCAAGATTGGCTGTCAGACCCTCACGCACGCACTCACTCACTCACTCTCTCTCTCTCTCCAGGAGGTTCTTCAGCAATCCCATCATCCAGAAATTATTTCCTCGGGATGTTCTTTTTCAAGTCTCGACTCGTTCGCCTCGACTGAGGTGGTGCTTTGCTACGACATCACCAACTATGCAAGTTTTCAGCACTTGGAGGACTTCCTCCCTCAATTTTGCTCGGATCCGCAGCGTCTTTTGGGTGCGGAAACAGGGACAGGGGTGACCAGAAGGGATATGATTTGATCTACACTCACACTCACCAATATGGACGTGTAAAACCCCTGCAAAAGTGCGAGCAAAATGGTCTTCCCAGGGCCGATTTTCCACATCCATGTTAAGGTTCTGTACTGTATAGAAGAATGCCTTGCAGTTTGCGGTTTTCAGTACCCTTTTCTCTTCATGTATGATGTGGTTGAGGAATGAGGAATTATAGTAAGTGGCTGTACAGTACCATTTACCATGCTTGACGGATTTCTTCGATACATCGCGTGCCCAGAACACCAACAACGGCGTTGCACGGCGTGTGCTTTTCACCGAGAGTACTGCTGCTACCTCCCTCAATCGCGCGCCTGGATGGAAGGACCTGAGGGATGCTGAAGGACCTGAGTTATCTACATCCTGCAAGGTCCTGTGGCCTTCCAAATGATGCGGTCAACATATGTCCAAGTGTTATTTGCATGGCTAGAGTCCGGCCAGACAGCCATGCAAGACAGAGAGGAGGAGCGCTGGGACCAGCTCAGAGGACCCAAGGACATCCACCGCTGTGGAGATTCAGGGACTTTCCGAAGCTGTGTGCATCAGCCGGAGGCCATGAGCCCGTGGGCCTCGGATGGTTGGCAAACCGAAGCTTCCGAGTCTGGACACTGATCGGAGTATGAAGGCCTCCTCTCAGACGGAAGGACGCCACAGATGGAGGTCCAAATAGGTCGAAAGTGTTCCCTCTATTTGATCTAGGTGGTGCAGTAGATGGTTTTTAGGTGGTGCAGGATGTCTCCCATGCCAACACGCTCTGTGTGAAAACACCGGCCCGAAACCCGGTCCCCTTCCACCACCGGGTTTTTGGACCCGGTCCACCGGATGGACCGGACCGAACGCCAGGACTGGTTGTTCTTGGTGAAACGCACCTTCGACCAGACTCCCATGCCGTCCGGGGAACCTGGACAGTTTCTCCGAGCTGAGGAGGAGCGGTGGCAACATCCACGTCTTAACATCCGATGTGGGGCCCGGCCGTTCGGAGTGAGCCGGAGCCCTCGTGAGCCGGATGGATCAATTGGACGGAATGCGGAGCCCGCGAAGTGAAATCGAGGTCATGGACAGGTGAACCTGCAGGTCAATGGATCATTACAAGGACTCAGGGTACGTGGTTCCAGCATTCTTCGGAGGTGTTGTCAGTAGTGTTTCTCTTGTGTAAAATGAACAATTTGATACAATTTGTATGATGTATTATAAATATATATCACTTGTGAGGATCACCACCAACAAATCGCTTTTTTGCTGTTCCATGGATCAATTAGTGTGGCTCATGATGGCTCAGATGGCTTTCCTTTGCAGCTCAGCTGAGGTACACTGCATTGATGGGAAACAAAGCAGACCTTTCGCACATTAGAGCCGTGAAGACGGAGAAGCACAGCCAGGCATGGCGACGGAGAAGACGGTGAACCGTACGGTCAGAAGAGGAGAGAAGTTGTTGTTCTTTTTTTAAATGAAACTTCCAACTTGCTTTCCTTTACTGATAAAACAAGGCACATGATGATGGTTCCTATAGTTCTCAGATAATTACTATAATATCAATGTTGGTCATGCTTCCGTGTAAGATTTGCACTCCCTTGCCCACTGCTGGCCCCGCAGTTCGCGGACGAGAATGACTTGTACAGCTACTTTGTTTCAGCGCGAACCGGAGATCAGGCTGGGTTGGGGCCCGGCTCGGCGGAGGGTCGCCTGGAGGACGAAGACGGCTCCACCAAGGTTTGCCCGAGCAGTCCACCATTTTGCTACGGACCCTTCCACCAGGTAGGTCGTGCCCAGTCGGTCTGCTGGTGCCATGACCCAGCCCATTGAGGATGAGGCAAACGGCTCGCGAGTTCGAGGACATCCTACGACAGGAAGTCGACATCATTCGACATCTCTTCGGTCAGGGGTCAAAATCGCTTGAGACTGCCAGATGTGTGTGGCTCCGGGTGCATCCGGTTGCTGGGCAGGGGTGAAAAACCGTTCAAAGCCTACGTACCTCAGCAGTGACCCCTGTGAAGACTGGTTAGCCTTTACGCTCTTCTGTGGAACCTGGAGAAAGGCATCTCAAAGGTGTACTTTCCTTCTGAAGGAGGGTGGTCTTGGAATATCTTTGATCAAGGTTAAAGGACCCATAATCTATCATCTTGAAGCACTTCAAGCAAGTACGTAGATACCGGAAACTTGGAAGTTCTTAAAGCCATCGAAAGTCATCCTCCCTTCCCTCCAAAGGCGTTGTTCTCCCCCCCACATCCTTCACCCTTTCCCTTCACATGAAACGAGATAGGAATTCTCAGGATTATATACCTAACTCATCCTTACCTTATGGCCTCCACCCTAGTAGCGATGGCCTCCAACCTAAAATAGATGGCCTCCAACCACACCATACAAAGCGCTTTGTTCAACTGGCGTTGCCTCCCTTCGCTGCTCAAACCGCCGAGTCGCCAGGTTCATTCCGCTTTCTTCCGGATCGCAGCGGACCTCGCCGGCGCGGGTTCTGAGCGAGCGGACGTGCTCCTGGTCCGGTGGAAGGGGTCTGGACGCAGGGCGGGCGACGGGGCGACGGGGCAGTAAAGACCAGAAAACATTGGAACATTTTAAGGTGGGAAATTCCTGTTTTGATTCGATGTCGTTCCATTTCATGCCCTAGTAACCAGGACGCGACGTAATGCTCGGTTGGAGGCCATCGCTACGAACGGAACAAGAAGCTACTAGGCAGCTATGTGTTCCCTACAGCGGAACTTGAATTCCCACCTGGCATGGCGGAACGCTCTGGTGGCGGTCCTAGGTGTGTCCTTGACGAGACCTGAGCTGGAGGCCCACTCCGGTCGGAGATGGAGGGGGTTCGTGGACCATCCAGGCGAACGTCAAGTAGTAATCGCTTCAGTAGAAATCTCTACACTCCGACTCACTAACATGGAATGGGTTCAATGTGGTTCAATGGCCTTTCAGACCTTGGCAAGGTCACCTTTCCTCTACATGTGTGTGGCACGGCTCCTTCCATGTGTGTGTGTGTGTGTCACCCCCTGTAACTAAGGGTTCCACCTCTCCTCCCACTTTCAACTTTTTTGAGCAGGGGGGCCAGGCCTGTCACATCCAACCTGGCCCAACGAAGCTGGGATGTGACAGGGGAAGCACCAGAGGACGCTTTGGTGTGTACCTGCCACAACTTTTGCACAAGCTGTCCAATTCCCTGTTTTGTTTCCATGGTGGTTCACGATACTTCCCCCAAACCTACTCTTCCCCAGCAGCTGCGCCGCCGTTTCGTCCGCTGCTGTCGCGAGTCTGCAGATGCGCACAAACCACTTGTTCAAACATCTACAATTGATCGGACTCCTCACCTTACCGTTGAGCCATTCCTTTCCTTGGGGAACTGAGTTAACTGAATACAATTGTCAGAGTGTGTTTCGCTCAGCCGTCCCACTCGGGTGCTGAGTGTGATCCCCGTCATTGGGGCGCTGTCTCATCGTGCAAGCACTAACTGACCTCACCACCTTTCACAGGAACTCCACTGGAAGTCACCTCCACGTCCACCGAATTAACTGCCACAATGGCCGCCGGGCCTAAACACGGGAACTGACAGCGTTGCAGCACTTGCATTTTTGAGATGTTTGACGGCTAAGTATTCACATGTGCATGTGCTGCTAAGTATTCGCAGGCCGGACGAATTAATCATGCACTTTTTCCCCCTCCCTACCCCTGGGCCTCCTTTGCTACCCCACCCGCTACTCGGGAAACAGAAGGAAATCGCACTCAACACACTTGTGTGTTGGTGCCTTTCCTTCTGTTTCTCCTAGCCTATTGCTAGCTACCCGGGCGGTTTAAGACAAATGTCCCGCTCGCGCTCTACTTTCATTTAACTAAGTGGGCCTCGTAACTACCCCTATCTTTCTTTCTTGCCCTCTTAGTCTGCTTTTGTTTTGTTTGCTTTGTCTGTCTTTCTAAGGCTTTTTAGGTGGCTATTAGTTTTTCGCAGCGCCAATATTGGCGCTTTCTGTACAAAGTTCCACCTTCAACGTTCTACACACTTGCGCCGGAATCGGCTGTTTGTGTGTGTCACCCCCTGTAACTAAGGGTTCCACCTCTCCTCCCACTTTCAACTTTTTTGAGCAGGGGGGCCAGGCCTGTCACATCCAACCTGGCCCAACGAAGCTGGGATGTGACAGGGGAAGCACCAGAGGACGCTTTGGTGTGTACCTGCCACAACTTTTGCACAAGCTGTCCAATTCCCTGTTTTGTTTCCATGGTGGTTCACGATACTTCCCCCAAACCTACTCTTCCCCAGCAGCTGCGCCGCCGTTTCGTCCGCTGCTGTCGCGAGTCTGCAGATGCGCACAAACCACTTGTTCAAACATCTACAATTGATCGGACTCCTCACCTTACCGTTGAGCCATTCCTTTCCTTGGGGAACTGAGTTAACTGAATACAATTGTCAGAGTGTGTGTCCCAGCGCAAGACCTCTGGATTTGCTCGTTTGGTAGTCTTTCTGAGAGAGACCAACCAAGTATGAGTATGAATCAACATGTGTCTTTCCCCATGGATCGTTATTCCATGGACACAACTGACCACTTATGATTGCTTTGTAGCTGGTATTGTTCCTCTCACGGAGGATCACGGAGGTGTTTTTTCTCATGGTTTCTTCTATGTTGCTGCTTTTGTTGACCAAGGAAAGAGGTAGACATAGGTAGACGACCTAGGGAATGCCCGCGAATGACCTGAATGAACTGAATAAGCTGATCCACGGATACTCACGACACATGGCTGGCGCCATGTTCATCAGGGCACCCAGACCCCGAAGTTCAATGGTCGACCTCCTGTCCCGCGTATACGTATCTAAATATAATAGCCATGTGTGCACAGACTAGGTCGTTTGTTCTGTGAATGTTCGGTGGGAAAAAACAGGGTCCCTCGATGCCATGACCATCGACGGCATGTTTTTTCATGGAGCATGCTTCGTCCTCGTTCCGGCATCGATCGACTCTGAGGTGGTGTGCTAGAAAAAGGCGATCTCTCCAGTTGAACACCCGACAAAAACATGCAAAAACATACACAAAATCACAAGATACACTGCCCAAAAGTTGCAGGTGTTTTCCAACCGAATCTCGCTTGGAAGACGAGAAACCAAAACCGGTTCACACCGTGATCCTCAGATCCTCGTCAACTCTGATCAGTTCAGGGCCTGGAGGCCCTGAGGCATCAGGCCTTGAACTAAATGAAGCACAACCAGAATCATTGTCGAGAACCCCGGCTGTGTATTTCCGAGACACAGAAAAGGACTCCCAGTGCATTCGATCAGAGATCTCATACGAACTCTGGAAAGTATCTAAAAAACTAAAAACTTATACGATTTGTGTTTCTAACCCACCACGTTCGGTTCCAACACAAAAACCAACAGATCACGTCAAAAAAAACCACTGCACATCACACCACCAAGTCTTCTTTTCCAGCTGACCGCACGTGGCCGTCAGTGGCCGTGGTCTCAGGTGGAACAAAAGATCACTCGAGCTGAAGTGGTGAACCACCCACGTCGGGGGCCGAAGGGGACAATACAAAGAGGAATGAATGGGGCTGAATCTGAATCAAGGGCGCTAGAGACAGAGTTGTTTTTGATTGTGTATGTTTGTTTAAGTGGACTAAGCATACGTAAGAGTCCTTCATTCACATACACTGAGTCCAGATCCCAGATGCCGGCCAAATTCATTTGGCTTTATGATTTCAGATGTGTTTGTCCAATCGTAAAACTACGTTAACACCGAAAACCAGTGGTTGGGCACTCCGCCCTCCCGCCCTCCCTCCGTCCGATTTGAAGGTTTCTCCACTCTTTTTCCGCCAGGCAACGACCCAGCCCATCCAGAGGCGCCACCGTGGAGACGACACCTCCGACTCCACTGGCCTTCGCGGCGTTCGAGACATTTTCAGCGGACACGATCGAGACGGCTCTTGACAGTCGACACGAGTCATGGGACTGCCATATTGATGCCACCCGATGGATCCCTGTTCAACCACCCCTGGCCTGATCGGTAAATATGTCAGTCCCATGGAGTGTTTGGAAGATGGAGTTGAATTATGTTGTTGTCAGTTAATGTTCCGGCCTTTCATGCAAGTTCGACTCGAGCGGATAGGTCAATGCTGAAGACGTCGGCAAAGAGAAGAAGTGCACTGTGATGTAGTTAAGATGAGAAAATACATATATCTTACACATAATTTGAATATGATTAAATATGATTAAATTATATATTAAAATAGGTTTAATATTTTAAAAATATAAAAACAAACAATCGAATATAGATAAATTAATTATATGGATTGAACATTATAAGTTATTGTAAAATAATTTTGAATTTTAGAATTATAAATAAATAAATTATATATATATATGAATTATATTTAATGTATTTATTTTTGTATATGGGATGATATTTATTATTAAATTTAAATATTGATAATTATTATGTTTATATTGTTTTATCGATTGAATTTGTATTGATTAAAATAGTTTATAGTTATATAATTGGAATTACGATGATTTATATATATTTTTAATATTTGGATATCGATTTATTAAGATTAATTTTACTTGATGGTCGTTTTCGGATGGTATTTATTTTTAATATTGGAATAATAATTGATTATTTATATATATAATATTGGATTAAATAATTCCGATAATATAATTAATAAATGCATTTTAATTGGAAATTGATCTCGCAAAATTAAATTAAACGTTATGCATGGCAATTTCGCATATTGAATATCGAATTCTATATGAATTCTAGATATAAAAATTTATTATCGATTAGTGGGAATTAGAGGCAAATATATATTTTAATTTCACGATTTTTGGTTTATAAGAGAATTTCTCTTCGATTTTGATTATAATTTATGTCTAATTAATCTATTTTTGGCCAAAATCATGAGGCACAAAAGGGATTTTTTACCAAGACTATATTTATTGAAACAACCGGCACTGCTGCGAAGAATTCGCTTTCTGTGCTCGAAAATTCAATACAAACATGATCGTGCGTAGGATTGCTCTGACTGCGTGGTGAGGCGATATACGTACCATGAAATTCGAATTATCTTAGGAAAAAAAATATATATCCAGAAGAATCAATATATTAAAAAAATAAAAATAATATATAGAATATCTATATATATATATTTCAAATCGATATAAATAATTTTATTTATATATGAATTGCGACGCCCATATTTCCCAGAATCATTTCACGAAATAATAATCGATTAAATGAAATAATGAAATCGTTATAGATTCGCGTTCGCCGACGCCGAAGATTCGAATTGGAAGCCTGAAAATGTCAATACTTATTTATTTTTGTAATATCCCAAACAAAATTGAATATGCACCTGAGTGCTCCATATAACCACTATGTCCAGGCCAGGTGCGTGCATATACAATGTTCATTCTATCCTAGTTTTTGTTGCAGAGGTTTGATAGGTTGCTAGTTAGTTGCAAAGATCGAATTATAGCTTACAATACACGATTTGTGCAGAATATTTTTCCCATAAATGCAATACCCAAAGAATGTATTGGATGGGAGGGGGGGATTGGTAGCGATAGCCAAACAAATTCAAGAGTTTGTCGGTGCAAATTTCACCAAGAAGGAATTAAATAATCAATAATTCCCATTGTTCCTTATAACAACGTTGTCCTTTGGACACCTTTGGCTCCTCACGATATGGAGATTGATTAAATCTGAATTAATGCTCAAGGCCTTTCTTGATGTATTGCCTTTCAATGATTTAATCTTTCTCAATATATTGTAATTCGATTGGAGATTCTCAATATGACCCTTCAAACCTTCCACCATCATGGTCAGATGATTGATGCGATTGCATGACTATTGATATATCTCTTTTGATAAATTGTTGAATTATTGTGTCTAATTTCGGATTCGCTTAGCATTCTCTCAGATTCTGCAACCAACCTCCTATATTAATTTGGGTCGATTCCTATGATTGCAACCTGAATGCGCTCATCATACATGCGTAAATTTGATGAATTGCTGGTTGATTAGTCTAGCTAAAATCTGGCTCGAAAATAAACGATTGATTTTGCTGAAGGCGATTTGATGAAGAAGATCCACGAAATTATCAATGCAATCATTGAGGGGGAATTTGCAGGGGATGCCTAAGGATCACCTACCGGCCTTAGGAGGTTGCGGATGGCTTTGAATACCGGAGTTCGACGTATATTGGATAGCCTCTTCTTTGGTATTCCTGAATCCCCGGATGATTGGGATCTATTTCGAATATGCATTGCACCGGCAACAACGTCTAAAGGATTGTCATTGTTTAAATTAAATGATAATAATTGTTCCTCAAATAATATAAATCAATGGTTAACCTTCAAACCATTCCCAACCCCTTTTTCTGGCGAAAACGACGCTCAATTGGCAAAGGCTCTCGGGAATTGGCCTAACGAGGCTCCTGCGGTGCTGATGCAACCGATCAGAAGCGATGAATTATATCAACGAAAGTTCTGTGGCGCAGCAGCCGATCAGAAGCGGCTTTAAGACGATCTCAAGTCTGTTGGTTCGAATGGTGTTGAATGAATTGTGCCAATCGATCATCAAGCCAAGCCATTGATAAATTGCAAGATCTGAAATTGTCGCCAGAAATCGTTGGAACACAAGGCCTGCGAATCTGAATCGCAATGAGGCTTGCGTCACTGAATTCTTGCAGAACCTCGGTGTTGTCGTCCAGAATCAATGCTTAGCCTCGCGTCAACGATCTCAATGCCTCATATTTATCGTTTCGGCCCATCCTCTCACGGGCGACAATCACACAATCAATTAACAATGCATTCTGTTGAATCGCAATGATGAAGCTCCTCTCGTTCCCCACACTATCGTAAATGCGCGACAAAACAATAATCTTCACCCGACAATTTGGACCCAACCGCTCAATCTCCTGGCGCACAGGCAGATTCCCATTGTGATCCCCATGATTCGGAAGATTGACACTCCGGTCAACGTAAAGGGCCTAGTGGTAGTCCAACAATCACCGGATCAATATTTCAATGATTCGGTCGTTCTGCTACCTGCCTCATTGAATCCTGGTTCGTCCACAAGTATATAACTGCAGATATATGTTTAGAATATATAAAATATGCAAAATAAAAAAAATTAGAAAGGAACAAAAATCACATATTTAGAATATCTGACATACCAGGAATGCATCTAAAAATACCTTACTTAGAATATTGGGGAAATGAGACTTAGAACATGTCAGGATTATCCTTCTCTCAGAAACGTTGTATGATGATGCGACATGCATACCAACGCATACCCATGGCAAGCACTTCACTTAGAATATTTACCTATCAAACGAATTCCTTAGTACTTCCTGTGACGTCCACACACTTGGAATATAGGTTTCACAATCATTGCCATTTGTATTTCCTATGATTTAGCTTTGCATCATCGGACACTTACTTAGAACATATATTTTCTCGTGTCCCATCCCCCAAAGTGCTTCCAGCCCTGCAGAAAGCATACTCTTAAAACATCCCTATTACAAGACGTTTCTTGGCATTTGCTGACTAAATGATATATTTAGAATATCTCTCGCGGGTCTCTTGCAAAAATGTATTTCCAAAATATGTTCTAAGTGTTTGTCCGTGAGTATAAAGCGGCCGAAGGCGGGAAAATCAAGGCTTCTTCTCTGTAAATCAAAATAACACGAAACCACGGGTAGATAGTTATTGCAGGCGCCGGGTGGGAATACTTGAGGATGTCGAGGGACCGTTCATCGGCAATCGAATCAATAATGCTCGAATTTCCCTCGCTCCTGCCTTTGCCTTTGGCATAGGGTCTGAAGAACTTGAGAAGCTGCAAAATGAAAGCCAACATTTTTATTTTCGAGTGTATTTTCTCAGACCACCCCCCCGGACCCCCCTTCTTATTCAGCTGGCGCCTTGCCAGGTATAGATATCCAGGATAGCTACCATTCAGATGCCAGGTATAGTACTTCAAGTTCCCTTTCCGTCAATCACTCGATAACCTTTAATTAGTCATGCACAGCAATCCACGGCTTTGAAATCTCATTCTTGCATTGAATTTATATAGGCATGTAAGAGGTATAGCAACATAGCAAATAAATATACGGACCCAGGGTAGCTACAATTCTGTTGCCAGGTATCCCACTTCAATTTCCGTACCCTGGGTCCGCCCGCTGCCGGCTGCCCGTAATTTAGGCGCCCGCGCGCGCGCGGACCCAGGGCAGCTACAAGGCAGTTGCCAGGTATACCCAGGATAGCTATAATTCAGTTGCCAAGTTAGCACTGCAAGCAACCGAAAACAATTGCATTTCTTAAAATCACCAAAAAAATACCTCCAAAACCTTGCTTCCGTGCAACCCTACACACCACCTATTTTCGAGTGTGTTTTCTCAGCGTAACTACAATTCAGTTGCCAGGTATAATACTTCCAATTCCCTTTCCATCAATTGTTCGATAGCCTTTACCCATGCACAACAAACCACAATTTTGAAGTCTCATTCATTCTTTGAATCTATATAGGTATGTAAGAGGTATAGCAACATAGCATATATACGGACCGAGGGTAGCTACAACTCTGTTCCCAGGTATTGCGCGCATAATACTTCAAAGGCGTGGGTTGCTGTGGGTGCATAAAGCTTATCGAACGATTGATGGAAAACGAATTTAAAATATTATATCTGATAACTATACTACAGCTACCCTAGATATCTATACCTAACAAAAGGCCAATTATACCTTACCATTCAGATGATACAAACAAGGCAAATTACATTTCTTATATCACCACCCCTTAAAAATCACCTCCAACAACCTCAAAAAACCTTCCATCCGTCCACCCTCCTCCCCCAGCATGTGCCGAATTCACGTATATCCTTTGCGGGCCACCCCCCCCCAGACCCCCCTAATTATTCCCTTTGCTCACCAACCACAACTCAGCTAGCGCCTTCTATGAAGGCTAACTTTCGTAACTAAAGGTTGGTTTTAACGGACTCCAAAATCTAAACAACAATCTCAACATCCTCATAAAATCCTCACTTACCGCATAGCCTCTAATATCCACCAATGTCGATAAGCGGAACGGTCGCTAGATCATTTCTTTACGTGCCCGCATAAGCAATATATACGTCCCTCCCCCGCCTTTGCGGCGACCTACGCGAAT